CCTCAATAAACAACCGGATTCATTATTCAGGAGGGTGGTAAGAGCAGCCCCTCCTAATACGTCTCTCAGTCACTCCAAGGAGTCCAGGCATTCTTTTTTTTTTTTTTTCAAGCGTTCTAGAACATTGTTTGTACGTCTCTTGGTCACTCCAAGGAGTCCAGGCTTTTTTTTTTTTTTTTTTTTTTTTTTTTTCCCCCAAGCATTCGAGAACATTGTTTGTAACCATTCCTTCAACGCGGAGCTTGTAAAGGTTGTGAAAAGTCCAATGCAATTGCTGAAGAAGAAGAGAATTGCTGAGAGCACATAGAGAAACTTGAAAGAACAGGTGAAAGTGTTCGAGAACGTAAAGCCGATTGCTGGACACTTGAAGACATACAAGACTTGTAAGAATACATTGCTATTATTCTATATACATGAAATTGTCACATATCTATCCACTAAAAGAGCACACTTTGTGAAACAAACGATTAAAAAACAAACAAACGAACGAACACTGAAACCATCCATTTGAACGCGCCATGTACCTAGTCCCCAGGATGACGAGGACTGACCTCAACCGGTGCGTACCATAGTTAGGAGGGATGGGCGGGGTTATTTGGGAGCTTCCGATAATGGGAGGGAAAAAAAATAGTAGTATGATCATAGTATTATAGTAAGGGGCAAGAGGGGGAGTGTTCACCTATAGAGGGGGGTAAGAGAGTAAAAGGGGTCAAGAAAATGCTGGGGTTAGAACTTAGAACTTAGAAGTTAGAACATAGCAATCGTGCAGAGTCTGCAGACATGTATAGTGCAGGACCCAAGGTTTCGGTGTGGACCTTTTTCGGCCTTCTTCGGCCACTTTCGGTGTACATACAACAAAGGATCAAGGATAGGTAGATATGATTAAGGTTTCGGGATAGGAAGGAACGGTGTAAAGCCAAGAAAAACCTGATGGTAGGAGAGGTAGGATATCAAGGACAGAAGGGTTCGGGGATACAGATGACACGGGGATAGGAGGCAGAGGAAATGCTGGGCTCAGGTAGACATGGTGGGAAGGTGCGAGTAAGTAACAGGCGGCCCGAGGGGGTGCTAGGAGAACCCCCACCCCTGTCTCTTATACACATCTAGATGTGTATAAGAGACAGGGATACATGTTGGGACTGAGATCAGTCGCTGCCTCTCAAATTATAAGCCATAGATGGGAAACACACCTCACCATACCACCTAATAATATGCCCCTCTCCCCCTGGAACAGTATTCTCACCATAACAGCAGTTAAACCACCAGTACTTCCTAAAGTCGTGCCCGTTAACGCTACGCGATTTTAGGAAACGTACGGGCCACTACAGGAGCTCCCAAATTCATCCAACTAGAAACGTTTCTACTCTATTTTTTTCCCGCGGCCGATAGCTGGGCCAAGTACTGGTGGTTTAAACTAAGAAGTTTTCAATGGCTTATCGCCCATCGTGCCTTGGCAGTAAACTCGTGGCTATATACGAGGAGGAACAACCAGAAGCGGTCACCAGTACAGGAACTATGTTCCATCTGCGCAAGTGAGCTGATAGAAGACAGAGAACAAAGGCCATTGATGAAATATATCAACGGCAGCCCGGCGCCAAGAGTTGCGGTGGTCGGGACGAGTTCATTCTCTGCAAGGCTGGGGCTGTGTACTGGTGGTTTAAAAACTTTACAAAGTTCTTTTTTTTTTTCTTTTTTTTTTTTGTAGGAGTTTTTGAGAACTCAAAGTCGATTTCTGGACACGTAGCAGAATTCATATGTATGACCATGGATTTCTGATTTGCATTCATTATCAATTTATCACCAAGCATTCTTTTTCTCCCTCCCCCCCCCTCTCTCACTTGCTCCTATCCCCTAGTACCTCCCCTTGTCCTGTCTCTTATACACATCTAGATGTGTATAAGAGACAGCACACACACACTCCAGCACCACAGCATCCTGAGCTGCTTCATGCTTCGAAATTTAGAGCCCTGTCAAAGATGAAGCTTGGATCTGGGTACAGATCCCAAATTGTCAAACAGGCGCTACACTGGCCCACGGCATCAACTTGAAACTAAAAAGCGAGGCGGAAAATGGCCCTCAGTAGGGCTGGCGGCCTGTCCTTTTTTTTTTTTTTTTTTTTTTTTTTTNATGGCAATGTATTTCTCCGCACTCTAGCGGTAGATTCAGTCTCGTGAGTAGTGCAGCGAGGCCCTAAGTCCAAAACGAAACGACGCGAGCTGGCCCACAAAACGACAAAAAAGATAAGCAAGGTATTTCTCCGTACTCTAGCGGTAGATTTGGTTTCGTGAGCAGTGCAGCGAGGCGGTAAGTCCAAAACGAAACGACGCGAGCGGGCCCACAAAACGACAAAAAACAATAAGCAACATATTTCTCCGTACTCCAGTGGTAGATTCAGTCTCGTGAGTAGTGCAGCGAGGCCCTGAGTCCAAAACGAAACGACGCCAGCGAGCCCACAAAACGACAAAAAAAGATTAAAAAAAGGACACAGGTGTCCCGTGGGCCCGCCCCTTGCCCCGCCGCCTTTCCCAACACTGGCCAGCGGGTCTCCGTGGGAGCGTCACGCGAGACCCTTTACGCTCTTTAAGAGTGTTAAGGAAAAAAAAGAAGGAAAAAAGAAACCATCCATTTTTCTCATTCTTCTTTAACGCCCCCTTCACCACGCCTCTCACGTACAAGACTCGCCACGTTGATGAAGTTGAGCGGGAGCTGTCCGCATCTCCATGTGCCATAACGGCCCACCTGTACGCTGTGAGAAAGAGGCAGAGTAAAGCGGGGGACGGGGATAAACACAGAGAAGCGAGATGGAGAGAAGACAAAACAAAGAACCGCAAAGGGAAGTAAGGGAAAATAAGGAGTGTGGAATGAAGATGAAGGCAAAGGAAAGGATAAGAAAAGGCTCAAGAATCAGTCTGTTCTTGACCACAGAGAGAGAGAGAGGACATACATTGTAATTTGTAAGGCTGAGGAAAATAATTATTTTTGATTTGTCAGTTTTCCAATGCAAAGAAATGGAGGTGAGTGCACAAGGTGAGGTGAAAGGACTTTAGGCCCGATGGCTCAGCTCGGGATCCTTCGTCATCCTTTTTGTCTTCTGTTCACTTCCAAAAGCATTGTCAAATCGGGGGAGCTCGGTTTGAATGCGAAACTGCATCTCCCGACGAGTGTGCTCACAGCAGCAATGCCAGGAGCCTTGCACCGACAGACCAACAGTGCCTACATAAAGAGATGTCACCAAGCAAATGACATATAATATTATGTAGACTTGTATACATATACAAAAGGGGCTGAATGGAATTGCCCACCATGTAAAGCCAATTGCTGAACACATAAACGAGCTTGAGAGAATATTTCTATATATCTGTTTGTGACGATATATATATGAGTCGGTGAAACTCCGACGAAACAGTTTGTCACAGCCCCTCGTTTGTTGTCCTCTTCTCCCTCTCTGCCTACGGTTTACCGGGCAGTTCTATTTGACGATATATATATGTATTCGAGTCGGTGAAAGTCCGACGAACCAATCTGTCACGGCCCTCTGTTTCTTGTTCTTGTCTCCGATTTTTCTGCCTACGGTTCACTGGGCAATTCTCTGTGACTATATATATATGTGACGATATATAATAATATTTATTCAAATTCAATCCACCTGGGTAATCTGTAGCTGACAGCTCAGTTTTCAGGCACAAGCTCCTCCTATTCCCTGCTTGCTTTTGAAAGGTCGCACCCTCGAGAGTGTGCAGCAAATGCTCCCCCTTTCCCTTGTGCATACATCTACAATTGCTATAACTGGTTGCCCAGAAGGCCGGATAGTCGCCGGATGCTATTTCAACGAACCTGATATCAACATTTCTACCAGCTGGTACTGTCAATTTGGGTGCAATGTGATGCACCCAAACAGTTTTTTGACCAGGTTCAGGTTCCTGAACGTCATTTGCCCAAAGATTTTCTGTCGTTTTGCCTCTATGTGGCCATCGTACTACCCTCGTTTACTTCCCAACTCGCTTGATCCCCTTTTCTGTCCATTTCCACTTATGCCCTAGCAACCTGGTGCTATAGTTTGATGCTCTTCTGGTTCGCAGCCTGCACCAGATACATATGTGCTGCCGTCGCAGTAGTTGCGTCCTGCACCAGGGACATCCTCTGGTCCTCTGCCCGCCCCAGGTGCATCCGTGCTGTCGCCGAAGGGCTTGCATCCTGCACCAGGCACATCCTCTGGAGCTCTGCTTGCACCAGGTACATCCTCTTGTCTTCTGTCTGCACCAGGTACGTGCGTACTGCCGCCGCAGCGGTTGCGTCCTGCACCGGGTACACCCTCTGGTCCTCTGACTGCACCGGGTACCTTCATGCTGCCGCCACAGTGGTTGCATCGTGCACCAGGTGCATCCTTTGGTCCTCTGCCTGCATCACGTACATCCACCCTGTCGCCACAGTAGTTGCACCCTGCAACAGGTACATACTCTGCTTCTCTGCCTGCAGCAGGTACGCGTTGCTGCCTCCGTGGTGGTTGCAGCCTGCACCACGCAGATCCCATCAGACGACAGGGGAGCAAGGCCGTCCTAAAGTCGTTTGGTGGACTCCCAGTGCAGAACTGGACATATTGATTAATAATTTAATGTATTGGGACTGATCAATATATAGGGACTGAACTCATTGATCGGTACCATGGAGATGAGATGGGCCCATGAGTTCCATAGTAAACTTGCACGTCCGGGGGATTGAAGTTAAAGTTAAAAGTTTAAACCGTAACCCCCTGTCATGACTCTGGTTCAGCTTCCTGTCAATTTGGTGCAATGCGGTGTTACGCCGCTGTGCCAGCTGTCGACTCGGGGGCAAAAAGTGTGGTGTACCTGGACAGCTTGTTGACCAGGCACACTCAGGCTCCTCAAATTCATTTGCGCAAAAGGCTTTGATCTCTCCTCCTCTGCAAGCTCCGATCCCTCCTGCTCTGTCAGCTTTGGCCTCTTGTCCTCTGCGAGCCTTGCTGAGCAGCACACATGTACTGGATGGTGGCCGTGATGGGAGTGCGTCTTGCACCCCGGCAGGCACACTCGGTAGCATGGTTCTTTGCTCATTGAGCGCCCAAGAAACACTAAGAAGGTCGGCGTTCGGAATTCCATGTCATGCTTGGATGCCAGGACACTCCTTTTCTGAAAAAGAGAAAGGATCACGCTTGACGGTGTTAGCAACTGCTTATGAAGAACGATTCTACTTTGACGGGCAGCAGTACACGCGAACAGACTTCAGCGTACTTTGCCCGGCCCATTGTCGATGAATGGTTCTTCACCAGTGGGCAGCAGTACAGTCGGGCAGACTTAAGTGTTCTCTGTGCTTGTTCCCTTAGTTATGCTTTCCCAGCTGCCGGCCACAGAGGCTTCTCATCGCAGCCGAAGCTGCTCCGCTACAACACCACTCGCGGACCTCGATTTGGTGAACTCTGAATTCCGTTAGACTTCATCCCAATTTGTCGCGGCTTACCTCGTCCTTTTCCACTTCTTCCCCGTCGTAATCAGCATACGTCAAATGACAAGGTTGTTTGCACCCCAAGTCCTTTCTCATCATGTCTCATTTTGTTTCACCAATTCCAGATCCATCAAGTTCCACATCATCATTTCCAAATAAGTTCAGATGCATGCGACGCTTCCCTAGCCCATCTGTGTAGCTTAAGCCACCTTCCTGGCAGGCCATTGTTCTGCACTCTTGCATATACTCCTCCTTCTCTCTCTGCACAATCCTTTCAGCTCTCTGCTTTCGCTCACTCACACTTGGTGTTTGCCCGCCACAATCGGTGACCCCTTCTCATGCCTGCCTCGCTTCCCTGCACAATCTACGTCGCAGCTCAAACCACCTTCTTTGCTGTAGTGTTTTCCCCTCTTCCAGATACACCTCCCTCCCTTCTTCTCTGTGCAGCAAGCCTTCCAGTTCATCTGCTGTGTCTCCGCTGACCTTGGCGATTGCCTCATCAACTGACTCCTTCCTTCTTCTCTGCACAAGTCCTTCTGCTGTACACTGCTTTCTCTCTTCACTCAAATTGGTGCCAGTAGTGCCGAGAGGCTGAGTAAACACTCATGCGGTCCCCCCCACCCGTTGCTTGACTCATTCATTATCCTGATAARAARACCCCCCCCCCTCMCCCCCCCCCCCGGCTGTACAAATCAAACTTCAAGTATAAGTAGAAATGATGTTCAAAACTTCAAAACTTCAAAATTCAAATCCAAGAATAATTAGAGTAATGAAAAACTGACTGCTTGGATTAAATAAGCAGAAAGTCCGCTTGTATTGGTTAGGCTGGCGACAGAGATGTGCCTCTGAATTGTGCAAAAAAGTCATGCTCCATGTGACAGCATCTGCGCAGTAATTCAACCCGCTCTGCTCTAGGTACGAGGTCTTTTGAGCTCACTCAACTATGCTCAGCATTCTTGTGATCGCCGAGTTTTCTGAGTCCATGGAGTCTGCTGGCCCTGCTTCTGACAGTGCTTTGTTCGCAGGCAGGGGGTGATGGTGAATGCAGGGTGGTCCCCACACTTGTCTCCTGCTGCCAAGTCTATGTAGTCTGTTCACTATGCTGGCTCTGCTCTAAGCAGATTGATTACGCCACACTGAGTCCTGCAGACTGCTCTGTTGGACCCGCACATAGTCTGCTGCCTAGCAGACGGATATGCCATAGCTGACTCTGCTCTGAGCATCGCGATGAATGCGCCATGCAGACTGCTCTGTTGGACCTGCTCCTGGATCTCCCAGGTTTGCTTCGTTCCTTCGCAGTGAGCTGATGACCGTGAGGGTCTAGTAAAAACCTCCTGGTCCTGCTGCTGCTTCTGCTTCTGCTTCTGCTTCTGCTTCTGCTGCTGAGTCTTGGTGTCCTATGTGATTTTTTGAGTATGCTATCTCTGCTGATGTTCATTGAGTTGATCCACAGAGCTTGCTATGCTCTCTTGGTGCTGTGTCTGGCTTAGCGCTTGATGGCTGCTGCTGCTGCATGTGCCGCTCCAACGGCTGCTGTTATGTCTGCTGAGTCAGGTAGTTTGTCTGTTTGTGCACGCCATCCTCGCACAGGGGCCATGCTAATCTTTCTCTGTATTGTTCCAATTTTAACAGATGTTCCGAAGGACGAGTCAGGTAATTGTAATAACTCCACGGAGTCCAACTGTTGTTGGGTCTGCTGAGTCTAAGTTGACTGATGCTGTAGTGAAACTGGCCCTGAGCCCATGGCTGGGTCAGGTGACCGGGTCAGCTGCTGAGTCAGCAGTAGAGTAAGTTGCGTTGTTGGCGGTGAGTCTGGGAAGCTGGTTAAGTTTGCTGACGCTCAGATAATGAGTCTATTAACTGAGCCGGGTTCAACCTCGTCAACCTCCTTCTTTGTTTGGCTGTGTCATGGCTCTCACCGAGCTGGCTTAGCGAGAGCATACGAGTCAGCTGCAGCCGTGCGCAACCTCCTCTCTGTCTGTGTAGTGGCTCTCAGCGGATTGACTTAGCGAGCGCATAGGAGTCAGCTGCCGCAACGTACTGCTTCAGAGCCTTGAAAGTGCATGTTTCCATCCACGAGTCGAGAAGCTTCCTTGAATACTCCTTGCAGATGCTATGTGGGCTTGACAATGAGAGCTTGGCTAGCCCATCAAAACACTCCGCCTGATTCATAGCTTCGACGAGCTCTTTCTGCACCACCTTGCCTGTGCGTGACAACGTTGGCCTCGGCAGAGAGGTCAACGAGCTGTCGACCAGCTTATCGAGTAGCTTTAGGGCATCACAAGCCATGCAGTCGGGCCCGTTGTTCTTTGAGGCTGGGCGGCATAACCAGTCGGCTAATACCGGCACAATGTTGGCTCGAAACACTTCTCCCTTACCGCCCGGATCATCCATGAACTTCTTGAGGATATGGGTACCGCAGGTCACAACGGAGTTGGCAGCGCATTCGCCATTCGTGATCAGTCCTTGAACGCCCATACACTTCAAAACTCCCACAAGCAGCGGCAATCCGCTGCGTTTTCGCAGCTTCTCCCTCTCTTCGCTCGATGTCGTTAACAAGTCCAGAGTAGAGATCGCTCCATGAAGCAGACCTGCTGCCGACACCAAGTGCGAAGACGACGCCCACGATCGTTTTAGCACAGCGATCATTGCAGTCATCACTTTCTCTCGAGAACTATATGGAATCCCCTCCAATACCATGTTCCTTAGTACCCATATCGCCCTCTCAAGCACTGCCATGGTTATCACTGATCTCGGTGACCTGTTCGGATGCCATCTTGGCGTGTCGTCCACCAACGAACCGATGCCTCCCCCTGTGCCATTCTCAGCACCATTGCTGCACTTGGATACTATAATTCCAAGCATCATCTCCATCAGCAATGGTGTGGAGATCACCTCACTTCGGCTCACCTACAACAGCGCGACAACACCGACCATTTTTTGCGCCAGAGCAAGAGTAAGTAATAGAGTTAATACATCCAAAAGAAAAAGGGGAAACAATAAAAAAATGAAAGAAACGNAGAGTTAATACATCCAAAAGAAAAAGGGGAAACAAAAAAAAAAAAAAAAAAACGTACGAGTACTGCCGCAACAACAAAAAAAAAAAAAAAAAAAAAAAAAAAAAAAAAAAAAAAAAAAAAAAAAAAAAAAAAAAAAAAAAAAAAAAAGAAAAAGAAAAAGAAAAAAAGTGGAATGTAATTACTAATTCACTGCAGGATAGTTTCAGCGAAATCAGAAAAGGCCCTGAGTAGCTGTGAAGACAGACGTTATCCAATGATGATAACTGAGAGAAAGGGGTAGTCTTACCATAGGCAACAAGTGCATACACAGTGAGGGATCACTTTTTCAAAAGTAATGATGCGCAGCAGCCTCGTTGTCATGATTAGAAAGTTAATAGAAACACATGATATGTTTCGACAAATGGATTCAAATTTCAAAAGAATCGTCCATTCGACAAAGTGATCAATACTTTGTAAAGTTTGTGAACAACAAAACCTTCCGTTGCCTATATGTCATTCGAAACCGATGTGCATGATTTGAGCAATTTGTTATCTTGTTTTGTATTGGATAAGATAACGCCTGTAATCAAAGTACAAACTCCCCCATGTGACAAAATCATATTCATTGGTGCAGAAGGTTTGAACAAAAAGAAAGTGAAAAAGAGAGAAAGACAAAGAGCACAGCATAAAGACTGTAGATACGATGGCATGAATACGCAGTATTACACACACATGCGCACCCTGTATGTTCACACATGTTGTGACTGCTGTAGGTTCAATGGACGGAAACGGAAGTGTGCGGGCCATGCGGGGACCCTCGTCGTTGACCAGAAGGAACATCTGCAGGAGATGAGACTCTCCAACTGGGAATAATCCAGGCCAGGGATGGGACAACACTTGATTGGCAATGGATTTCCGTTGTTTCCGATCTTGCTCAATACACACATATATGAGGAAAAGGAGCTACAGTTGTGTCACAGTCGTGGCCTGTGCTCTGCTTGGTCGGAGAGCCTTGCTCATCCTGAGTGCTGTGGTGAACGTTGTGAGGGACGCCGCGCCCAGTTCCCGACTTTGTTAATCAAGTTTGCTCTTTTTACAAATGTCCAGGCCTCACTCCGGGGCAGGACCCTGATCATTAGTGCATCCGTTCTCTCCAAGCTAGTGTAGTACATGCTCGTTTGAGCGATGTATATGAAGCCAAGGATCCGCAAAGTGATGAAAAGGACGCGAATGGACAATGCAGCGTCAGCAAAGCATCAACAAGCAATGTACATTCAGATACATACGAAAATAGCACAATGCAGTGCAGCAGACGACTCAAAGATGTGACCTGACCTGTCAGGTACTGACGCAACACCCCATTATACACCACACATTTGAGAGGGAGAGGAGGGACCGCATACATAGAGGAAAGGTCCCTCCTTGAGCACGCACATGGGGAGATACCACGGATGAGGAGATGGGGGAGAGGCGACAGGAAGATGGAGAGGAGGGAGAAGACCAAGATCGCGATAGCGAAGTCCAAAAATAGTCTCCCCCCCCAATGTCCAATCAATGTCTGTTACAAAAATGTCGAATCAGATCCTGGGCTTCAGCCCGATGTAACCTCTGCCTGTGAACTCTCTCTCTCTCTCTCTCTCTCTCTCTCTCTCTCTCTCTCTCTCTCTCTCTCTCTCTCTCTCTCTCTNCTCTCTCTCTCTCTCTCCCTGAAAGAAGAAGAAGAAGAAGAAGAAGAAGAAGAAGGTAGAAAGAGGAGGAATGAAGGAGGACGAGGAAGAAGAAGATGACGTCATGAGAAGAAAGGGAAGGGTATACAGCAAAGGAACTTTGGAGGCTATTGGCATTGAGAAGAAATGGAAAAAAAGAAGATGACGTCGTCCTCCTCGCTGTCCTCACCTGCGGAGGTGGCCGCCACTGTGTCGCGGGTCGCCGGCGCGGAGCTCGGCTATGGTGCTCAGGTACGTGCGCCACTGCAGGATGGCCTCCGCCCCTCGCCCTACCTACACCTCTACTCCCTAGCGCAGCGCCGTGTCGCGCTTCTCCAGCAGCATGTCGCCCAAGAAGTGAGCTACTCGAACTGTGTGTCTGCCCTGGCCTGGCCCAGCTATAAGTAGCGCTGGGCCTCGCTGGTGTTCCTCTGGTCCTTGGCCTGAAACGGCCTGCCTGGGTGCTTACCGGACGTCCAGGCCCTCCCTGCTGATGCAGCAGGGAGTGTCCGCTACTGGACGAACACGAACCTGTCCCGAAAGGGCCTGACTGCAAACGAAGAAGGCCCAAAACGTGGCCTTTGTCCGAACAGACCGAAAGTCTGTTCGGACGAACTGCAAGTCCGAAACGACGCCTGAACAGGCAAAAATAGGACAGCAAATAAATACGTAAATAAATGAATGGTGCCTCAAATCGAATCCTGCGTCCCTCAGGTCGGCCGTGGGCCTCCCGAGCGCATGTCTGTGTGTCGTGCGGCCTGGGGGCCCCCAGACCGTTGGGCCCGTGTGCAGGCTCAGCATGTAACATGTGGTATATGGGGTATTCATGTGGTCTCCACAAACTCCACCTGATGAAGCACTAGAAGAAACTCTTTTTTTTTGTTGGGTGGTGGTGGGGGGGGGAAGTATTTGGACCATTTCTCGATTTATGTGTGTCATCCTTGTGCAGGGTCCATGCTTATCTGGAATTTTATCTTCTCTCTATCATTCCAATTTTGCCAAATAATTTTTGTTTGTTTGTTTGTTTGTTTGTTTGTTTGGACACCCGAAGCTCTACAAGAACTGACCACTACAGTCAGGCGCTTCTTATGGACAGGGGACACCAACTGATGAGGCACTAATTTGCCGCTGAAAGTTTTTTTGTTTTTTTACTTCCAATAGCTCCAATCTCTTCGTGGGGAGCCTCACGTGCTGGGAACTGGGCCCAGCATTCCTTTCGGTAGAGTCAGGTGCTGAGAAAACTTAACACTAGGGTCAGGTGTTTCTTAGGGGCACGAGAACCCAACAGACAATCTTGCATTCCAAAAGTAGCACGGCCATACATTGTACAATGTACAGCCAATTAGCTCAGTGGGTAAGAGCGGGAACCAGGCCACGACGTGGCAACAACGCAATCTGCGTTGTCGTCCAACCTGACAGTTGGAATCCCACTTCGGGATGAGAGGATTTGGTGGAACCGGTGAACCATTGAGGTCGAATGGGACAGAGGGCTCGACGTACCTAACTAAGTGAATCAGCAGATGGGAAGGAGCCTAAATCGACGTGGCTTGAGGTTGTGGGTTCAAAACCCTGCAGCCAGCCTCGTGCATGGGCACGGGTGGGTGTTGACCGACGGACAGCTGTACACACACGTCCCTTGGTCGCGGCATGGTAAGGACTACAAACTCTGCCTACACCGCCCAAGGGATTTAATCCAGGATTGTTGTATGTCGGGGCTTGACTATGAGTAGGCTTGCCTGAGGACGTTGGCCATAGGTTGTTCTGATGATCTCCCCAGTCTGGCAAATCGCAAATTGGTGCCATTTGAGATTGTAGTACGCATGGTTGAGCAAAACTGTTACATGATGATAAGCATGGGTTCGAGTCTGGCTTGGGACTTAGCTGTCGGGTTTCTCGCACAGATAGGCCTATCATATACAGGACTGCACAACTCTTACACATACATAGCCTACGGGCACATACATAGCTTACAGGCACACACACAGCCTACGGGCACACATACATGATCTAGGGACACACACACACAGTCTATGGGCACACACACACACACACAGCCTACGGCCCCACATACATAGCCAATGGGCATACACACAGCCGATGGGGCACAGTGGCACACACACAGCCTATGGGCACAATGATAATGTCAGCGGGGTATCCGGTCCCTGCTAGGGTTGTCATAGACTAGATGTGGCTTGGGGGCTATCAGATATAGTCAGTGATATGCTAGGTAGGGTTAGAGTAGTATGTGGAGTTGATAGAAACAATGCTTGAGAAAAAGACCCGTGCGACAAGGGTCGCCCGATCGTGCTTCAACTGGGGCTGGGTGGGGTTATCTGGCTTCCGTCTTCCCCCGAACATAACACGTATGCATTGTAAACGAATACAACGCATACTGTGCGTTGTATTCGTTCACAACACATATGCGTTATGTTCAAACGAGACCAACTTTACCTGCACAAGGGAGTCGGGTCCAGGCTGGGTAGGCTCAGTTCTGGACCACGGCTGGGGGCCTCAGAGCCTTGGCAAAAAGGTAAAAGTAAAGTAGCAACGTACCTTTCCATGTTCGGGGTTGAGTTTCATTCCTTTCCCTACTTGGGCCCTTGCTCCACTCCTCAGCAAGTGTGCAAAATGAGAATGAATCTTCCGCGAGAACGTGGACAAATACAACCCCTTTCTTTTTTGTCTCGGTGACCATGGTAGTGCAGAAAGGCCTTGGTGAATGGCTTTCTTATTTTTCCACTTTCTTGGCTGCGCCACATTCTTGGCTGTCAGAAGCGCCTTCAGGCACGGAGAGAGAGAGAGAGAGAGAGAGAGAGAGAGAGAGAGAGAGAGAGAGAGAGAGAGAGAGAGAGAGAGAGAGAGAGAGAGAGACGCTATGCCCAAGGCCAAAACACAACACATCTGTGATTACAGGCCTGCACGGGCCTGTCCCGTTCACCAGGGCAAGAACGGAGCAGGTGTTGACCTTCGGTGGGGGGGGAAGTTATATTCGAATACAACAATTTTCTCTTCGTGAAATTCAAATATAACGCATATCCGTATTATTCGAATAGAATGCATATGTGACATTATGTGTTATATTCGAAGTGCCGTTGTATTTGAAGAAAAAACCGTTTTTTTTTTTAAACTCGAATACAACGCATATGCGTTATGTTCGGGGGAAGACGGTAGCCCTGGTGCCTATAACTGCTGTCTGGTCCAAGTC